CTTCCTCAGAGATCTTCCCTGACCATCCCACCTAACTCCACACATAACCCCAGTCACTAGCCCCTTACCTATTTTACTTTCTTCCTAGCTTCACAGTACAAACCACTATCTGAAAGTGTATTACTTATGTGTACCTATTTATTCTCTATCTTCTCCACCAGAATTTAAACCCTGTAAGGTCAACATCTGTCTTATTTGCCACCATATCCTAAGTGCTTAGAATAGTGTGTAGTATGTGGCAGGTGCTCAAATACCAAGTAAATCATCATTCTTCCTATAAATGCTATAATCACAGCACTTAACATGATATTTGTATAATCCCTTCTAGTCAAGGCCCTACTGGTTATTAAGAAACTGATTCAGAGGCTTCCCTGGTGGCGCAGTGGTTAAAAATCCGCCTGCCAACGCAGGGGACACAGGTTCGAGCCCTGGTCCAGGAAGATCCCACATGCTGCAGAGCAACGAAGCCCATGTGCCACAACTACTGAGCCCGTGTGCCACGACTACTGAAGCCCACGTGCCTAGAGCCCGTGCTCCGCAACGAGAAGCCATCGCAATGAGAAGCCCACGCACCACAACGAAGAGTAGCCCCCGTTCCCCTCAACTAGAGAATGTCAGCATGTGCCACTACTGAGCCCGTGTGCCACGACTACTGAAGCCCACGTGCCTAGAGCCCGTGCTCCGCAACGAGAAGCCATCGCAATGAGAAGCCCACGCACCACAACGAAGAGTAGCCCCCGTTCCCCTCAACTAGAGAATGTCAGAGAGCAGCAATGAAGACCCAACTCAGCCAAAGATAAATTTTAAAAAGTGACTCAAAGTACTTCTAACAAAGATGTGATGGTAGAAGCCTGTGGAATTTCCTTGTTTCTATTTTCTAAGGTTTTTTTTTTTTTTAAAAATGTCTTAAGCGGAGAGTGAGGATGAGAAAGATGTTAAAATTTAAGGGTTTTCAAGGGGACAAAAAGAGTAAATGGGATAGAGAAACACAATAGGATTGTCAGATGGTACTAAGGTCTACTTGAGATCATGACTTTAAACACAGAAACTGGGCTTCCCTGCTGGCGCAGTGGTTGAGAGTCCGCCTGCTGATGCAGGGGACACGGGTTCGTGCCCCAGTCCGGGAAGATCCCACATGCCGCGGAGCAACTAGGCCCATGAGCCATGGCCGCTGAGCCTGCACGTCCGGAGCTGCAACAGGAGAGGCCACAACAGTGAGAGGCCCGCGTACCGCAAAAAAAAAAAACACAGAAACTGTTCCAGCAAGTTCAGTTGCGTAAGTGCAGAGAAGGCGGCATACTGAACTTAAACCAAAAATGGAGTTCAGCCAGACAAGTATAATGAAGCAACAGTTGGGGCAAAGCAATTTACTATGTAGCCAATAGTAACTCTTTAACACTGGACCACAGAATCTAAGCTGCATAATGAAGGACATGAGGTGAGAGGATCAGTGAATTATAAGTCACATAGTTCTGTAACCACTCACTCTGTTTAAGTCTACATATCTGGCTCCTCTTCTGGACTGAGGTCCTCCAAAGTGGGACCTGTGTCTTACCTTTTCATTCTTCGTACCTCACCACGTGAATGTGTTATCTGGATGGATGATGTTTTACCCATGGTTTAAAGGGAAATTTCCCACCCCCAAATCCGATATATAAACTTCCTCCTTTCTCACTGTTCTTCAAAGTGTTCAAGTAAAGTTTCAGTGCTTCATCAAAACCCTATGGTGGGCTTCCCTGGTGGCGCAGTGGTTGGGAGTCCGCCTGCCAATGCACGGGACACGGGTTCGTGCCCCAGCCCGGGAAAATCCCACGTGCCGCGGAGTGGTTGGGCCCGTGAGCCATGGCCGCTGAGCCTGCGCTCCGCAACGGGAGAGGCCACAACAGTGAGAGGCCCACGTACCGCAAAAAAAAAACACCCTACGGTAGGACGTCCCTGGTGGCACAGTGATTAAGAATCCAACTGCCAATGCAGGGGACACGGGTTTGAGCCCTGGTCCGAGAAGATCCCACATGCCGCAGAGCAACTAAGCCTGTGTGCCACAACTACTGAGCCTGCGCTCTAGAACCCACGAGCCACAACTACTGAGCCTGCGCTCTAGAATCCACGAGCCACAACTACTAAGCCCGCCCGCCGCAACTACTGAAGCCCACATGCCTAGAAGCCCTGCTCCGCCATGAGAAGCCACTGCAATGAGAAGCCCCCGCACCGCAATGAAGAGTAGTCCCCGCTCGCCACAACTAGACAAAGCCCGTGCACAGCAACGAAGACCCAACACAGCTGTAAATAAATAAATAAATAACCCTATGGTATAGGACTTCCATGGTGGCACAGTGCTTAAGAATCCGCCTGCCAATGCAGGGGACACGGGTTCAAGCGCTGGTCTGGGAAGATCCCATGTGCTGCGGAGCAACTAAGCCCATGTGCCACAACTACTGAGCCTGCACTCTAGAGCCCGCAAGCCACAACTACTGAACCCGCGTGCCACAACTACCAAAGCCTGCACACCTAGAGCCTGTGCTCTGCAACAAGAGAAGACACTGCAATGAGAAGCCCACGCACCGAAACGAAGAGTAGCCCCTGCTCGACACAACTAGAGAAAGCCCGCGCGCAGCAACAAAGACCCAACGCAGCCAAAAATAAAATAATTAAAAAAAAAAAAAAAACCAGAGGAATCTTCCAAACAGTGTAACAGAAAAATAATAAACTGCTTCTATACACAATAGCAAATAGAATGACCATGTTTTAAGGACTACCTCATGGACTTCCCTAGTGGCACAGTAGTTAAGAATCCACCTGCCAGTGCAGGGGATATGGGTTCGAGCCATGGTCCAGGAAGATCCCACATGCCATGGAGCAAAAAAAAAAACCCTATGGCATAAACACATCCTTTGAAAAGAGACAAGATGCTGAATTCCTGCAGTGTTGTGTCCAAGAACTGAACCAGGAAATGAACCAGATGTATCCCAACTACTGTTAAGTCTGCCCTTACTGAACACCTGGGAGGCATGAAATCTTCGAACTTCCCAACCTCTATTTATTTCACCTCCGAAGTAATTATTAGCAGGATCCAAGTTATTAGCCTTGAGAATACCAATTTTTCTAAGGAGACATAAATGAAACTCAACCTGAGGGTGGAGAACAAATGCACAGACAAAGAGCATGTAAAATATGTTTTATTGTTCTTTAAAAGGGCTCAGGGTTTGGTTTTAAATCAGGCTGCACACCTTTCATCAGTCTGACATCTCTCACCATGTCAAACTGGCTTCAGCTAGCAATACTTCATTAAATCCAAAAGAAAAAAAATGTTTTAATTTTGAAGAAAATCCAGTTCTGAGAACAATTAACATTAGTCTGAAATTTAAAACAAAATGAGGGCTAATGTTTCATGTTGCTTTATATACCCTTCTCCTCATACAGAACCAGGAATGTAATTTTCCTAACTCAGGCAGGCACTGTTACTGGTGGATACTGCTCGCTCACTCTCACTCTCTCTCTCTCTCTCTCACACTCACACACACACACACACACACACACACACTCTCTCTCTCTCTCTCTCACACGCTCACTCTCCCTTTCTCTCTCCCACTCCCTCCCTTCCCTCCCTCCAAACAACAAAACTCAGAGCATGTCAAAGGAAAAAGGTTTGTTCTCGTATTGATCAAAACCCTTGGAATCAACTGTCTATCTGAGCTTAGAGGGTATGCTGTTTTGATCTTGAGCCTATGTTAAAGGAATCTACTGTCAGGTTCTGAAATAAAGAATTTTGGATAGTACCATCATTTTTCACTTTAAAATCCTAGAAACAATTTCAAAAAGCATTATTTTGTTTTGTTTTCTGGGATGGGGGAGAAGAGAATCTACAGATTTTTATTTATTTAAAAATCAAAACAACTCGGCATAGGAAATAGGCAGTTCACATAGCCAGCCAACATCTGAGGTATCATCAGTGTGAAACAAGGTCCCGGTCCATTCCTACTGGCCTAGCTGATCCTAACAAAATGGGAAGTTTATGGCTCTGCACAGCAAATTCCAACAGGACAAGATGACCGTAAGACTTTATTCAAATCCTTAGAAGCAGAGCACTATTAATTATGTAATATTCAGCTGGAGAGTGCAAGAGCCCCTGATGGTATCCTCCAACTTGCTTTGTCAATGCAGCCTGGTCACAACTGCAAAGGAGCAGCAAAACAGCTTTTCTAGATCAGTACATTGAACCCAGCAAAGAATCTGCTGAAATGATACTACACCACTGCACTAGCCACACAGTCCCTTTGCTACACAATGAGCTGCTCTATGTCTCTCTTCTACCCTATTATGGCCTGTGGACACATACTCACTAGGCATTGTTGGTTTTGAACCAGCAAAAAAATTTTTTTTTTAATCTCACAAAGAACCTAGTAAGAAAATAACAAGGCAATCAGTGGTTAAACTGAACTGTACACATAGGGGGCAGTTTGGGAAATACCCATTACAGGCATTTCTCAAGTCTAAAATATTGTGTCTTTGCTGCTACTCCTTTGACTGTTCCTGAAAATTCAGAGTACAAATAAGTCCTAAAACTTTACACTAACAGCATTCTCTGACATCATTAGACAGAAAATCAGAGTAATGCTACAGCCCACAATTCTACAAGGTGTAGAAAGTGTGCTAATGCTCTGCCTGGACATATCTTTAGTGACGGCCTGGAGTACTCCCCTTCCGAAAACAACTATCTCTGGGACATCCACTTAGCTTCACTGGTTGGAAAAGAGATGAATTCGACTCTCAGCTAAGTTCTTTGAGAGACTCCTCTTAAAATGCCATTTCCCCACAAATTTATCAAAACAAAAAAGGCTCCTGGCTACTTTGCCTAATGTTGAATAGGGTTTTCAAGAAAAGAAACTAACATGAATACCCCATCATCAGTAAAGACTAAAAAACACCTGGATCATATACTATATACGCCACTGCCTTTTTTTTTCCTTTTTTTTTGGTGTTTTTTTGTTTTGTTTTTTTTCCTAAAAGTGCCCAGGTGGGCTTAAGGCTGCCAGACTGCACGCACATCTACAGCAACATGGGCTTCTCCTATTTCACCTACAACTTGTATCAGGGGAAAAAAGAGGGATAGAAGAAAGTGAGAAGAAGGGAAAAATACACCGTGCCTCCCCCCCCCCGCCCCCAAGAAAGAAAGAAATCCACAAAAGGGAGATCTATGTGCCAAGCATAATGGAAGAGTGTGCTCCCCAAACAGATGGTTCTGCAGAGGCTAACGTTCTGCTGGTTTTCCTTAGAGACCTATTTTGAGAAAGTTTAAAAAGACAGGAGATTTTGAAATAATTCAATCCTGGCAGAAATTCAAACTCCAACACTAGGAGCAAAATCATCCTTCACTAAATTAATCCTTTTTTTCTTTCTCTTTTTCTTTTCTTAAACATTTTATTCACGTTATAGAGGGATTTCTTTTTTGTTTGTTTTTTTCCAATCATTAGGAGAGTGGTTGAGGAGTACTGAATCCATCACTACTTTGATGACACAGTTAAGATTCCAGATTCACATTTCCAGGTACCAAGAGTTCCCTCTAAATGCCACGATCAAGTCAGCCTTCGTATACATTTCTTTCTACTGAACGCAGCAATGCCCATTGGTATCTCTGAAGCGTAATCGCATCTTAGGTCGGTATTTCTCCAGGTAAAGCAGCTGTTTGGAATTGAATGCTCCCCTTCTTTTTCTGAAAATACAAGAATGGCACACTTTATCATGTAAAAAAAGAGCTGCCTGATTCACTGAAATGTGTATTTATGGCCTACGGCCTTTCTAACTCTACACAGCTGAAAACCAGCATATTTCCCATACAACATCACTTCTTAAGTGAAAGGGCTGAACTGAAACATGAACTTTCTGTGTGCCTTCCTAAAAGAAGAAACAGACAAATTTTCTTTGCTAACTCTCATTAGAGTCTATTAATCGTTTAATAAAGATCAGAATGGTTAATCCAGAGACATCTGACTATACTCTTCTCAATCAATATATTCTTCATATTAGAAATGGCAGCAAGTATTTACGATAAATGAGAAAGTATTTATATGAAGCAGCAGACATAGATGGCATTCCTTGAAATATGTTATCTTCCTAGAGCTACCATACATTTCATGCCCTTTGTCACAAAGTCATTTTTTTTATTTCTTTCTCTCTTTTTTTTTTTTTTTAAGAAAAGGTTAGAAAGGGAAAGGGCAAGACAATAATTGCCAAAGAATTCTGGACAAAAAAATAGCATGGCCTGTTATTCCAGACCGCTGTCAAGATTCTGTCTGGGCACTACCATCCTGATTCTGTGACTGAACAGGTCACTTAAGAATCCTAGGTGATTAACTGCTCCTCTATAGTTTCTTCCTTTCCTCTTTGTCACAGAGAGTTACATTTGGAAGGCATTTTGGACGGCCATTAAAAGAGGCACCACATCACTGAGACTCAGCTACCTAGCTATTCATTTTAAAGACTCCTAGATGTTCAAGTCATATACTGGACATATTCTAGAATGCCCAAATCTGCCACCTAAATTAGAAAATCTTTAAATCTGGGAGCCAGTAGTGTTACTGTGAGTCTCTTTATCACTTGCCACTTTTGATATCTTCAAATAATATTTTAAGCCAAAGACAGCAAATTACCCTATACTATGAATGGGTACTTTTTATAATTTCTTTCTCTTGTATGATTTTGCTTTGTGTGTTTTTTTTTAAATTAATTAGTTATTTATTTATTTGGCTGTGCTGGGTCTTAGTTGTGGCATGCAGGATCTTTGCTGAGGCATGCAGGATCTTTAGTTGAGGCATGAGAACTCTTAGTTATGGCATGTGAGATCTAGTTCCCTGACCAGGGTTCAAACCCAGGCCCCCTGCATTGGGAGCTCAGAGTCTTAGCCACTGGACCACCAGGGAAGTCCTGCTTTATGTGTTTCTGAACATAAAACTTCATACTCACTGTCTTATAAACTGAACTGCATCTTCGTACTTCATTCCACATTCAATCAAAGCAAGTGCGACCAGCACAGGTGCCCTGCAGAGATAAACTCATTTGTAAATAACCACAGGTCTTTGGAATTAAAGGATTTTTTAAAACCCAGGATTACTTATTACCAAAATTATGTAAAGCTTGAGCTTTCATTGTTCCTGTATACTAAAATATCTGATATTTTTCTATAGTAAAAATATCTAAATCATTACAGCTTCTATGGTATTTTCTATTTTTAGTAAAGTACAAAATTCTAAACCTTTATTAAGAGATCTTTACTCTTCAAAACATCATCACATTATATCTCAAATTTCACATCATTTTATGTCACCAAAAATCCACTGATCTTTAACCATTATCATAGTAAATGACCAAATGGATTATCTTGAGTGTCTCAGAATTTTTGTTACAAATCAATTTTAATATCATCTCTTCATCAAATACTAAAGAGGTGCTAGACTTCCTCAACAAAATGAGCTAGGAGAGTGGCAGAGAATTCGTAATTAGGAATTGCTTTCTATATATATATTAACATAACAAAGGAAATGATGTTTTTAATAAGCCCATTATAAGGCACTAACTTTGGACTGACTACCTAACTAGGATAGCTATTAGTTTAAAAAACTGCCCCAAATCAGGATAAGGACTAGAGACGTCTGACCCTGAAGAAGAACTGTACAACACTAAACTGCAAAAAAGGAAAATAGCAAACGAAAGGGTTGAGCAGAGGTAACAGCCTGAGTCACCACCACCTTCAGGCAACAGCAGCTTGCATTAATGTTTGGAGTCAAAGTGCACATTATAAATTGACATTTAATCTACTGTTGATGAGTGTTGCAGCACCATTCCATGCAGTGCTCAAGGAAAAAGATTTTAAAATCAAAGTCAACTTTCATTCTCCATACATTTCCTTTCAAGAATTTAAGGTTCAACCATCTGCTCTTCATCTATTAACTTCCATTCATCTCAATCTAAAATTAATCATGTACAGATTCTTCAAATCTAAAATTATTTTAACTTTGTTGCCCATTTCAAACACCTAAACCTTTGATTACTGGAAATGGAGAAACTGAATTAAGACTGTATTTTTGGCTCAAAGATAAGATAATTACATTAAACCAGTTTCAAAACAACTTATGAACCACCACCCACTAAACCCAGACTCAGACAATGAAACATAAAAAGTTATTTTGAGAAATCATTACACCAGCTTTTGCTCTCATTTCCTTTCCTTTCAGGCAACTTAATATTTAGCGTAATAAATGCAGTTTCTATCAAAGTGAAATTTTTGATAATGAATTCACAGACAAAAGGGGAAGAGCTTACCTTCCCAGTCCTGCAACACAATGCACTGCAACACAGCAACCTGGCTCTTCACGAAATTTGGTTTTTAGTAGGTTTAGCCAATCGTCAACTATCTGATTAGGGGGTGGCGCTCCATCGTCAAAAGGCCAATCCTGGGAGGAAAAGGTCTTTTACATTAAATTGATATTTTCTCCAGAATCAACATCCTAATGCACAACAGCTGCATACACAGGGCAGGCCTAATGGCACTAACTGTTCTACATGTACCTATTTCTTTTTTAATAAATGTATGTATGTATGTATTTATTGCTGCATTGGGTCTTTGTTGCTGCGCGCGGGCTCTCTCTAGTTGCGGCAAGCAGGGGTTACTCTTTGTTACGGTGCGTGGGCTTCTTGTTGCCGTGGCCTCTCCCGTTGCAGTGCATGGGCTCTAGGCTCACGAGCTTAAGTAGCTGTGGTGTGCAGGCTCAGTAGTTGTGGCACACGGGCTTAGTTGCTCCACGGCATGTGGGATCTTCCCGGACCAGGGCTCGAATCTGTGTCCCCTGCACTGGCAGGCAGATTCTCAACCACTGTACCACCAGGGAAGCCCCGTGTACCTATACTTAACCACACAATTCTGATCACTTCTGAAAAATGATCCAAGATCAAAATTCAAGTGTGCCAACTTAGCCTTCTCAATGAAGCATACATAACCGGCATCATAAGCATCAAACTTTTTCTTTGGAAATATCTCTTATCACAAGAGTGATAAGAGGTTAGCATTCTTCAAATATTTTATCTGAATAGAACAGTAATTAGACATAATAGAGAAAACTAAAATTAAAACCAAGACAAAGTAAGAGAGGACACACCACCTGTCAATAAGATTTAGAAGTCCATTTTGGCAAAGTATACCAACTGGTATCTCATTGGTCTCTACGAATATAAATATTTTTGAGGATTATCCCCAAATAGCTCTAAGTTATGATGTCTTTTCTTTAAAGACTCTGATAAGTAATTTCCAACAGATCATAATAGAAACACACTACCATCTTTGTGCTTACATATGTATTTTTTTTTAAGTCAAGCAGCAAATATTTTTAAAGCTCGGCCTAAATTATACACACCCCATTTTACAAGTATAGTGCCACATGATATGACCCTGAGGAAATGAAAACCATTTTCTCAAGTATTCCCTTCTCTTTTTATATTCATTGATTTGGGTTGTTTTTCTATTAAGACCAACCCCACGTGCATTCACAATACAGGCAGGGATTTATCTTCCTTGTTACCTCGCACAAGGTCCTGAGAAACCAACACAAGTCATTTTGAAGAAAGCGGGGAAGGGACATTCACATGTTGCATCATACCCTCTGTCCCATCTAACTTCAAGGACAGAAATGCAAAGACACTGGGAATTTTTTTTTTTAACAATACTATTCTAATGAGACTGGATAAGGACACTTTAAAATATTAGAGAAGGAAAAAGGGAAAAGTGACAGAGCACTAAATTGACTGTGCACTCATTACTGGCACCACTAGAACACTTCATGGAGCCCATTAGCCATGACAGCACATTATGTTTGTCAACTATGCCCCATAATTAAAGGGCTGCCAATGTTATCATTATAAATGTCACTACAGAGTTTAACTGTAAATAGCAGTAAAACTAGTAAGTACCTTAGTCAAGAGCTTACTTCCTCTAAGACTCCCTAAAATGCATCTAGTTAAGAAACAATATGAAACATGCTTTACTTATACAAGCAGTTTCTATCCAAAAAAATCACTAAAGCAGTAATTTAGAAGCATCTGAACTTCAAACTGACATGGCTGAAACCACCATTAGTCTTTTCCAATGTGCCTCTGATTTACAAGAACATTGGTCAAAGGGTTGAAACGTCTCACTTTGGGAATATCCTCTTATAAGGTGTTTCAAACCCTCTTCACCTAGCAAAAGTAAATTAGCAATCCAACTTAAACTAAAATTTCTGCCTAGGCATTAGGGAGAAGGGAGGGATGAATAGGTGGAGCACAGAGGATTTCTAGGGTCATGAAACGACTCCGTATGATACTATAGTGGTGGATACATTATGTATTAGTCAAAACCCCTAGAATATACAAGAGCAAACTCTAATGTAAATTATAGACTTTGGGTGATGATGATGTATCAGTATAGGTTCATCAGTTGTAACAAGTGTACCACTCTGGCGGGAGATGTTGATTATGGGGGAAGCTATGCATGGGTAGGGTCAGGGCATATATGGGAAACCTCTGTACCTTCTGTTCAGTTGTGCTGTGAACCTAAAATTGCTCTAAAAAATAAAGTTTATTTTAAAAATTTAAAAAATTCTGCCTAGGAAAAAAAAGAAATTCTAAGCTTAATTCTAAATATCCTTGTTTTTTTTCCAGCTTTAGTTAGACCTTTAATTTTATCTGATCACAGCTCTTTAAAACAAAACAAAAGCCTAGATTTAAAGGCCTGGAATAAATCCCAGATCTACCATTATCTTCTACAAACTATTTCAAGTTCTTTAGTTCATTTCTATTTCATAAAGGTGTTTACCAACATTACTGATTCAAACAGACTACGATCAATCTGCAGTTCATTTTCTCACCCTGCCAACTGTCAAGACAAACTGATTTCTCATCTACTCTCTAAAGAACATACAATACAGGAAAAGGAACTTGTATTTGGTTTAATTTCAGAACTTAAAATTCTGTTTTTATTTTTTTAAACACAGGGCTACATTTTATACATGTTTATACTTATCCCCAGTGATTTCCAGCCAGGGGACCTTAAAGTCATTTAGAAATAGGAATGCAAGCAAAGTATTATTACCATGCCATACTATTAAAATACATTTTAAAAAACATAATGTTTGGCTATTTGATTTTTGTGTTTTCACCAATGTGGAAGTGAGGAAAATTTATGTATCAGATGTGAGACAACTGCCTTACCAACAGGACATTTATTTTCTTTGCATCAACTGCCTTCTCAACTACTAACCAATGCAGTAAAGACTACAGAACTAACTCTCAATAAAAAGTAGGCACATAGGGGCTTCCCTGGTGGTGCAGTGGTTGAGAGTCCGCCTGCCGATGCAGGGGACACAGATTCGTGCCCCGGTCCGGGAGGATCCCACATGCCACGGAGCGGCTAGGCCCGTGAGCCATGGCCACTGAGCCTGCGCGTCCGGAGCCTGTGCTCCGCAACGGGAGAGGCCACAACAGTGAAAGGCCCACGTACCGCAAAAAAAAAAAAAAGAATGTCTGACAGAAACTACTTTCAGTTAGATTCAAACCAGTAGCCTAGAAACAAAAGCTAAATGTCACATTAATTTCCTAGAGAAAAAAAAATGAAATTTCCATTTTCTTGAAATAAGTGTGCACTAAATTTTGCCTTTTTTGTTGAAAATACTCTGCATCTGTAGACTTCAAGAGCATAAATGAACAAAACTGCCAATCCAAAGGAATTTTAAGATTGCTATGATTACTGTATCTCCTTTAAGTTTAAAAAGCAAACTATGAGTGCCAAGTTTTAAAAATATCTATGTTTGAAAGGTACAACTTGTTTGTAGTGAAAAACTAAAACACTACACACTCACTAGAACGTGGATTCCTTCTTTTTCAACTGGTGCTTTATCATATGTAGCATCACAAACTCGAACCAAAGTTGTCACTCCATACTTCTTAAGTTCCTTTAAAGAAAAACAAATATAAGGAAACTTGTTTTTAGAATCTGCAATGAAAGCTTTAAAAATATACTCTTATAAACTGAAACGAGACCTCATTCTCAGACAAAGATCAAAATAATTCTCGTTGTAACAACATATACAATAGACATTCTTGCATTCAAAGTGGAAGCATCAATAAGGCCCACCTTTGTAAGGGGCAATTTGGTAGCATTAATGCAAAAACTTTAAACACACACACACACTTTGACCTAGAAATTCTACTTCTGGGAATTTATACTAAAGAAATAATTAAAGATATACACAAAGATTTAGGTACCAGCATGTTTAGCACAGGTTGTTTGGGATGGTATAAAGACAGAAACATTAATGGTCCAAAAACAGGTGAATGGTTAAAAAAGTATAGCACCTCCATACAGAATACTATGACAGCTATAAAAATAATACTAAGGAGGTTGGGGGAAATTTTTCTAAAATACACAGTGTGATCCTATCTAGATGTATATTTATAAATATATACAGAAAAAAACATCTAAACACCAGGTATTAACAGTATTTTTAAATTGTCTTTTGCTTATCTTCTCGTTTTTATGTACTAAGTACATATTGCTTTTTATAATTTAAAGAAACAAAAGCAATTTTGAAATTAAGATTAAATAGTGGTATTATATTACAAAGTCAAGTAACACACAATTACAGCCAGAAGTCTTGCTCCTTTAGAAGTTTTCCTACAGTAATGCCTAATCCAGTCACTAACTAACTTCAAGAGGCCACCAACATCTTTTTATAGCTGCAGGAGTCTATGACCAAGGAATCCACAGGCTGAAAATAGTATCATGTAATTCAGCCAGGCTTAAAGGTGACTGAACAACCTGAGGGCATACCGGCCTGGAATTAACTTGTACACTGTGTACACAAAGTTAAGAAGCTCAGAGAATTAAAAATATAAATAAGCAGGACAGTCATATCCTACAAGACGTGTCCATCATCTGGTTATCTAAAGAGAAAAGTTATTTTAATTGCTAAAGGACTTTATTATTCACAGAAACGCCTTCTCATAAAACAGACTCAGGAAAGTTGTTAATGTTATATAATGAGTCAGAAATTTTTAAAAGTTTCAAAATACAAATAAAATCCCATTAAAATGAACTCCACAGTAGCTGTTCATTGAAAATTTCCAGTAGAAATTTTTTATGGTAAATATTTGTGACCTTCAGCAAGTCAAAACCTCTTCTGAACTCAGTTTTGCCATTTATAAAGTGAGAGAGGTAGATTTAGAATCCCTAGGAGTTCATCCAGCTCTCTAAGTCTACTCCACAAATACATCAACAGACATCATTGAGACTGAACAATCTGAGAATGATTAAAAAGCTTACATTCAAATGCCTGCTGAATAAAGTACAAAATGTTTCTCTACTACTACCGATAGAAAAAATGCAGGATGTGACATAAAAATCCTACCTATAATACCTTTCCTTCCCCTAAATTTCTGGACCCTTGAATAATGTGGTTCCTACTGCTAAGTAGTTCTAGGGTAGCTTTTCATCAAAAGTGGTTAGGGCATTTTAGGAAGAAATGGGTTTTAGTGTCAGAGATAGTTCTACCACATACTGTGTGCCTTCAGGCAAATTACTAAACCACTCTGAACCTCAGTTTTCTCATCTGTAAGGGAAATAATGGTACCTATACCTCATAGGGTTATTGTGAGGAGTAAATGATATAATGCATAAAACTGCTTATTGTAATGCTGGGTACCTACTAAGTATTCAATAAATGTTAATTAGCTTTATTATTGAAACTGTAACAAAAGAACTGCTAATAATGTTCAAAGGAAAAACCATAGTATTAGACAATCTCTAAGATCTCCTCAAATTCCATAAATGTTATTTTAAAAATCTGTTTTAACTAATTCAACTCAATTCAAACAAAGACTGGTAAGATCCACAGGATCCATATCATCCATACTCCAATCACAGAAATAAATGCCTTTGTGGTATAAGATTTCTTTACAGTGGTGTTAATTTTTAACAGGATTTTACCTATAAATCAATCCAAAAAGTAGACCATGCTACAATCTTACCTCTGTGAACTTGTTGAGGGTAGCATTGGTAGGGTTGTGGGTTATAAGAAAACGCATGTTCTCATAGGAGATCTCCACAGGGGCTGGACGGTTCATTATGGCAAATAAAAAGTGTGAGCGTGCGTGTGTGAGTGTGATGGGGAAAATGAAAAAAAAAAAATCAATAAATCTTGAAATGTTTCACAGCAGAAAACATTAAAAAGACCACTAAAATGCCTATTATCGATCAGTGTTTTCTCTATTCAACTTGTTTATTCTTTAAGAAGCTTCTCCCTTCAAGATAAGCAGAAGTATTTAGAATCCACTTGAATCCAAATTCAATTTGGGCCTCAATGTCTGCTGATGGATACCTTCGGACTCCAAAAAAATCCAACTACATACGAAACTTAAGCAGCCTTTACTACATTTAGGCACTAGTGAGACAAGTTAAAAGAGTAGGTCGCTTTTCACTTTTGTTTACTTGATGCTTAATTTTACTGGAGTCATTAAAAGATATATGCTTGCAATAAAAAAAAAAAAAAAAACCAACTATTTCTGAGGCCAGTCTCGGTGTCCAGAGTCTTCAAGGCAATGTTAATTATGGCACATAGAACCTCCAAGCTCACTTGTCAGCGGAAACGCTGTGCTGAGCCTGGCAGAAGTCTGCCCTCACGCTCAGAATCGCCATAAATGTGCAACGTATATTCCAACGAAAAACCTGGAGGAGACAATCATAAAGAAAATGAACTGTAGGTTGACAGCAAACACAATGCCCAAAAGTCAAGAATACATTCTTTAGGAGCCCAAAGACATCTGAAATGCCGCCACTTCTAAACTACTGCTATCTACCAAGAATAGGACAGAAGTACATACCAAGAGTTTTAAAAGTCAGAGATTTAAGTTAAGTATGTCTTGGGACTTCCCTGGCAATCCAGTGGTTAAGACTCCGAGCTCTCAATGCAGGGGGCCTGGGTTCCATCCCTGGTCAGGTAACTAGATCCCACAAGCATGCTGCAACTAAGAGTGTGCATGCCACGACTAAGGAGCCCTCGAGCCACAACTAAGGAGCCTGCCTGCCGCAACTAAGGAGCCCATGTGCCGCAACTAAGGAGCCCATGTGCCGCAACTAAGGAGAGTGCCTGCCACAACTAAGACCCAGCGCAACCCAATAAATAAATAAAATAAAATAAATACTAAAAAAAATAAATAAAAGACACCATGCTCCCACTGCAGGGGGTGCAGGTTTGATCCCCGGTAAGGAAATTAAGATCCTATATGCTGCATGGTGCAGCCAAAAAAAAAGTTAAATATGTCTTCCTTTTTTCAAAACGAGGCTCAATAAAGTTCTATACTAATAAGATTATTTCTAACTCAAGTCATTTTAAAATGAATTTTTAAAATCACTTTAAATCATTTTTAAATGATTAAAAGATACTTAAAACTTCACTCCATGGACTCTTTTATAAAGTTCACATCAAATGATCTCATTTTTCTGCTTTGATGTTAACTATCTTTGGTTAAAATTATATCTGTAAATGAAGGATATTTACCAAAATTCCACTTTGAGGATTTAATTCTTTCAATCCAAAATATATGCATTGGCCCCATTTATGATATCAGTTCATAAAGTTCATATGATACCAGTTATCTTCTTTTCCTCACAACTCTAAGTAGTTTTTAACTACCTATGATGAATGAGGAAAGAGGATCAGAAAAGTGACTTGTCTAAGGTGAATGAATTTAGTTGAGCCCAAATTCAGATTCTTCTGAAAAGTCCTGTATTTTTTCCCAAGGTACCACAATTCCAGCTGACTCAGCTAATATATAAATCCCATTCTCTCATTTCTAGTCCAATTTATCTTATTATTTCTCACATCACTACCTCAAGAGTACAAAAGCATCCAAAGGTTAATGATTCACACAGCAGTCTCCTGCCCAAATATTAATTCCTACCAAAACAAGGCAAGAAGAGAAGTGGCAGAATTTTTGAAACACAGTAATCTGTATAGCTGGCTCAGTCAGTGTCAACATAATCATAAATTCCTCTGGAAATAGGGACAAGGTCTAAGTTCTTCTACTTGCCTCTTCCCTAAGCCACCAATAAATGCTTATTTAGAACTCTAAAAAAGATGACTGTAACCAGACAAAATGAAAGATAATGACTACAGAGGCACCTGCAGGAAGAAACTGAAAGAGGTAAGAACAAACCTAAGCCTCAAACTTTCAAGCCTAATCTTCTATCTTCAAGTCTTCTTTTTATGATATTCTTAATGGCATTTTATTTTGTAAATTATATACTTCTGATTATATTACCATAGACACAAGCGCAAAACTAAAACATTCCTAAAATATGAGACACAAGAAATTCAAAATGGCATTGTAAGAACTTCAATACCTCAGCATAATGAGTTATCCACTACAGTAAACACACAAAACTTCTACATTCAAACTAACAAAAACATAATACACACCATCACCCTTCATAACTCATAATCTAACTCATAATTCTAACTGTAACCCTAAAACACAGCCACTTTAGATCACACATTTCACAGAGTACTCCTTGTACAGTCAAGGAATTTTAAAGCTGGCAGAAACTTAAGAGATCAAATACACTGACCTTTAAAAAAAAGATGCTGTTTGGGATCCAGAGAGATTACAAAGACTTAAGACCACACTGCTAATTAGCAGCAGATCAAGGACAAGAACCCAGGTCTTATTTTCCCTCCAATTTTGACTAATGGAGGTATCCACATATTTTTCAAGTCATAATCTTATTCATGACAGTGTAACTTTTCTTCAAATATTTGGTTGGATGTTCATTTGCAACTCTGTGACCTTATAATAAGGGGAGAAAAGACTATTAAAATAACTACTCAAAGAACAATGGTTTGCGTGCAATGCAGAGCAAAACCCAAGGAAATTCTAACCTGTTTGAATCCCTTTGGTTGAATGCTGTTATGGCAGCTAATATGTGTGTCAGCTGAGAAAGGCACAGAAAGACCAGCATTGTAGTGACAGCCAGGCTTAAAAGGTTACAGCTCTAGCATTAAGTTTTCTACCCAGTCATCAGTGCTTGTCTTCTCAGAAAACAGAACAACCTTTATCCCATCTTATTCCTCCAAGCTCAGTTTGGAAGGACCACTCCCAGGGATAAGGATAACTTATTATTAAATTTTCAATTCCTTTTTTTTTTTTTGGCTGCACGGCTTACAGTATCTTAGTTCCCTGACCCCGTATCGAACACAGACCCCGGCAGTGAAAGCACAGAGTCCTAACCAGTGGACCGCCAGGGAATTCCCAGATTTTCAATTCTTAATACCATACTGAGATCTCCAGCAAAGGAATTTCTGCCAAATGAAACACTATGTTCTATCAGTGTTAACAGATGCATGATAAAAGCAAGCTTCTGTTCCTTCCCCCTCCCCCAGGAGTTCAACTACACATTAACAGTTAAATGTTCTTGCACCTGTCAATTCAGATAAACTAATGTTAGTTTCTGTGACACCCATAAGAATGCAAACAGTCTGTAAAAAAAATCATCAACAACCTACCACAGCTAGAAAGTACTCAACAGTTACAGAGACATACATTTCAGCATAAACTCAGCACCTGTATACCTTACTGGAAAACTTTTTTCTGAAGTTTTCTCTCTGGCATTGATTCTGCTCTACCTACTTAAGTAAAAATTGATTTTTACTTTAATTTACCAGATGATGGAAGAGGCTGGTTTACTTGACACGTAACAGTGATCAAATTCAAATACGCATCCAAATATTCTCTCCACCCTTTATCTTTTATAGAATCTAACTTTTAAAATGTTGAATTTGGGGGGTGGGATAGGGAGGGTGGGAGGGAGGGAGACAAAGAGGGAAGAGATATGGGAACATATATATATGTATAACTGACTCACTCTGTTATAAAGCAGAAACTAACACACCATTGTAAAGCAATTATACCCCAATAAAGATGTTAAAAATAAATAAATAAATAAAATAAAATGTTGAATTTGGGAATTTCCATTTCCTAGGCAACATTTCCATTTTTAACAAAAGAATATGACTTCACTGAAGGATTAGAAAATGATGGTCTGTGACAGAGAAATCCTTTTAAATTAAAGAGGGAAGGGGAAAAGATAAAGAAGAATGAAGAAAGGGGGCTGGAAGAAGAAGAAGCAAGCAGAGGTCTACCAAGCTAAGACAGTGCACTGCCAGTGAGACTAAGCCAATAACACAACAGAGACTACTTAAAACTCTGAAGAGGGGTATATTACAAGTTTAAATATCCAGTGTCAATGCTCTACTGCTAACATCTACCTAGATGAGAACCAAAAGCCAAAATGCATGGAATAATACAATACCCATCACTTAATCATGGCACAATGTTAAAACGGAAAACCATGGAGAGGTTAAAAAGAATAAAACACCTATATAAACTGATATGGGAAGATGGCTAAGAGATACTAATAAGTGAAAAAAGCAAGGTACATGATAATATAAACAGTATATATAGAAATATTTGTGAGTACTTAGTATGTTTTCACTCAGGCCAGGAGCATGATTTACAATACATACCTTCTAAACAGTTACTGTTTTTTTCCCATGTACACTTATTACCTTAATTTCTTTAATTTTTTTTAATCTTTTTTTTTTTTTTTTTTGGCTGCACCATGTGGCATGCAGGATCTTAGTTCCCCGACCAGGGATCGAACCCACACCCCCCGCATTGGAAATGCAGAGTCTTAACCACTGGACAGCCAGAGAAGTTCCTTTAATTTTTAATTCTAGGGTGATAAAGAACCTACAGTGATTTACAATTTAATTACATCCTTAAGAGTGCTATAACCACTGGATTACAAAGAACCTCAAAAGGGCTAGTCCTTCTGTCCCTGGCAAGCCTGTACCTACACATTTCCAGAAAAACAGCTTTCTTCTTTGTTAAAGATACTAAATTATGGAGTAAAATTCAGATCCTGCTTTGGCAACTGTAATTCTAAGTTCAAATATAAATATAGAGAATTCAAGGGCATGAACGAACTTTACAAAATCAGCCCCATTTAATGTAACCCACACTTACTGGGCATCCTTTTAAAAATCCTGTCAAGCCACTCACAACAAGCTTTCCACTGAAATCACTTCTATTTACAAATTAAAGTGATGATGCAAAAACCCTCTAATTTGATAGGTTATGCCAGTATTCACCAAATTAAAAACAGTACATTATAAGTAAATGTACAAAAGAACTCTAGATCTTAGAAAATAAAATCTAAAAGCGAAGGTCTGAGGAACAAGTAAGTATACATTTACTGTTTACTTTTCTTGCCAGAAATTCTACAGGAAGTCATGCAAATTTGAGTCAGCGTGGTTTCTACAAGCAGACAACATGAAAGCATAATATGGTATACAAGACTAACACCTTGCAACAATTTTTTCCTAAAACAAATTCATTTCACCTCATTGAAGACACCTGCATTTCCCTTAAGTATGAATAATCTGTCAACAGTAAAGAATTCATTATCATGAAGGACCAGACACTGCAATTTGGC